CACACTATGAAGAAAGCAATGGTGAAACCAAGGGAAATTCTAAGAGCATTGAAGCAAAAGGACCCGTCTAATGTAACTGGTATGAAGACAGTTTACAATACTATCTCTAAGTTAAATTTCAGTGAATTGGATGGGAGATCTCAATTGCAATCATTGTTTGTCAAGTTGAAAGAAGATGAATACCTCTCGTACCATAGATCGAACGAGTTGAATGCGATTACCGACTTGTTTTGGATCCACCCGAAATGCATTAAGTTGGCACAGTCGTATCCGTACGTATTCGTCATCGATTGCACGTACAAGACCAATCGTTACGGACTCCCATTTCTTGAGATTGTGGGTTTTACTTGTACCAACAAGACGTTCTCAATTGCCTTTGCTTACTTGGACCACGAAAAGACGGAAAATTTTGAATGGGCGTTGCGTTGTTTGAAGGAGGCCATGACCAGTTGTCCTCGGCCTAATTGCATTGTAACAGATCGAGATTTGGGTTTAATGAAAGCAGTGGCCAATGTGTATCCATCGAGTCATCACTTGCTGTGTCGGTGGCATGTGAACAAGAATATAGTGGCCAATTGTAAGAAATTGTTCCCAAAGGACATCACCAAATGGAAGCAATTTCAGTCGAGTTTTTCGGCTCTTATTGAAAGAAATACCATAGAGGAGTTCAATGAGGATTGGGAGGATTTGAAAAGAACATTTATTGGTTATCTCCCGGCTATAGAGTATGTAGCTAATTCATGGTTGGATCCGTACAAGGAGAGACTTGTATCGGTGTGGACAAATAAGTATACTCATTTTGGAACGTACACTTCTAATAGGGTGGAGGGGGCACACGGACGAATGAAAAGGGATGTGCGTAATTCAACTGGCACATTTGTGGATTTGTATACGAAAGTCCACAATCAAATTGTCGAACAACACAATGACATCAAGGCTTCCTTTGAAGTAAGTAAAAATACTTACGAGCACACTTTCAAAACGTTGATATACAATGAGCTTCGTGGAAGTATCTCAAAATAATCG